AGTCTTGAGTCATGATGACTTGCTAAAGCCCAGGCAATACGTTCTTTTTATAAGATGCTCAGTGGTGAATCCATATACAGCAAGTTGGTGAGTACCATACCAGTACCAGTTGCCATTGAGTTCATTCCAACTCATGGCGACCCCGTATATGTCAGAGTAGAACTGTGCGCCATAGGGTTTTCAGTGGCTGATTTTTGGGAAGTCTAACACTAGGCTTTTCTTCTGAGGTACCTCTAGGTGGACTGGAACTGCCAATCTTTCAGTTAGCAACCTAGCACATTAACTGTTCGCAACACTCAGGAACTCCTTGGTGAGTTCGGGATATAACAATTATCAGGAGAGGAAGGATCACTTCAAAACAGTTTGTGTTCACAGAGATGTTCACTGTAGTGTTGTTTATAATGGCAAAAAAGTGGAGACAATGTAAGTGTTCCTGATTCTTGGAATAGGGGGCACATATGGGGAGGAGTTGTTATTATTGTTGTGTACCATTGAGTCGATTCCGACTCATGGTAACCCTATAGGACAGAGCAGAACTGCCCCATAGGGTTTCCAAGGAGCGGCTGGTGGATTCGAACCGCCAGCCTTTTGGTTAGCAGCCTGGGCTCTTAACCACTCGCCACCAGAGCCCCATGGGGAGGAGAAGTTGGGTCAATTATGGTACATGTGTACAATGAGATATTAAACAACTATTTTAAAGAATAAGGCAGAACTAAAAGTCCAAAAAAAGATGTCCAAGTAAAGTTTGATGGTACGATGCCATTTATGTAAAAAAGAACAAAGGGACACACACACACACGATGTATCTATGCATGGAATAATTTTGGAAAGCTACACAAGAAATTTAATATTGGTTATCTCTGGGGAGTGGACTAAGAAGTCAGGAGTGGGAGTTTTCATCTTTCACTTAAGTTTTCTGTCACTGGTTGAATTTTTTTATCATGAGTGTATTATTTGTATTAAAAAAAAAACTAGTAAAAATAAGCTATCTTTGGATTGCAATGGGAGAAGTTAACTCTAAACAATCCCCTCCCAGAATGGGGGTGGGAGGCAAGGCGGAGGAGGGTGCAGTGGGTTGGGGATGAGGTGACTTGAAGGCACCCATTTCCCTTCACCGTGTGGTTCCTGGCTCTCTCCTCGCGGTTCCCTGGCCAAGCCAAACAACCTTCCAGCTCTGTCCCATGAGGGGGAGACTAGACGGAACATGAGAATGTTCTGAATCATAGCCCTCAGAGTGACTTACGCTAGGACTTCTGGACAGTCACTGACCACTGCCACAGTTGCCACCAAGCCCACTTTGGAAGCCAGCCATATACCCGGCAGCACCCAACACAGGGCTGACCACATAGTTAAGGACTCCGTAGTTTTGGGGCCAATCAGGTTACTGTCTCACTCAGAAATTGCCAATGGCTCACCACTGCTTACCGTATGAAGTCCCGGTGTACAGCAGCTTAGTGTTCAAGGCTTTCTATGGTTCAGCCTCACTCTACCCTTTCAACCTTATTTACTGATTTCTCAGTATATACCAGCACTGCCTGGGTTCAAAGCCTGGCTTTGCTACTTACCAGCAAGATATTGGACATGCCACTTAACCATCCTTTGCCTGTTTCATCTGGAAAACAGAGAGGACAGTAAGGGCACCCACTTCAAAGGGCTAACATGGGGATTAGAACAGGTAATATATGTGAATGTTCATAGAAGGGTGCCTGGCACGTGGCGGGTGCTACTTAAATGCTACTTATGTTTTCCCACTTGCCTATCCTCATTCCATGGCTCTGGCTGGAATGCTTGTCCTGGTCACAGGCCTGCCCATCTTTCAGAGCCTATATGAGGCAGCACCCCCACTATGAGGCCTTCCCTAATTGCCCTCAGACACCAGTAGTTCTTGGACTTTCAGAATCACCTGGGTAACTTGGCAAAATGCAGATCCCCGTACCCAAGTCCTAGAGATTTCGCTGAAGTCTGTGGCGTGACCCAGGAACCTGCACCCAGGTGATACCTACCTGAGTAATCCAGGGCCACACTTGGAGAAACAGGCCTTAACTGGGCTTCCCCTTTGAGCCCACCAGGACTGTGTTTTGATCTCTTGTGGTGCTTTTCACAGGTGAGTAGCTGGGAACTGACCTTACTCTGCCCCTCCCGGGGCACAGGCTTGGTTTTACTCAGTTTTCTATCTTCCATCATGCATGTTAGGCTCCTGATAAATTCCCAGGGACTATTAGTGACCTGCTAGAAAGAAACCCTCACCATCTTTTGTCTCTGCCACCCTCTCTGCTTCTATCACTACTGTGAGTGGGCACAGGCGAGGACACAGTGGTATAGCTGATGCCCTTTGGCCCATAGATCCCACAGAGTCTCCTCCGCTTCTCCAAGGTGCATCTCCCTTAGCTATATAGGGAAAGCAGTTCACTTGGGTTTTCTATTTGGAGAGGAAGTAAGAAGACTTCCTTCACTAGGGGTGCCATTCGTCACCTGGGGAGCTTTACAAATGGAGCCTTACTTGGCCACTCCAAAGGGGAATTCTGGGTACCATGTAGATCCGAGGTGGGGTCTGGGCATGTGACCAAGCCCTCCAGGTGATTCTGATGGCACCCTTGATGTGAACTAGTCCTGGGTTCTCAATCCAGGCTGTACTTCAGAGAAGCATAAAGTGGGGGTAGAGGTGGCCTTTGAGGAACTAGGATCCTCCCCCAACCTAACCAGCCTCTGGGCCTTGGGCCAGCTCCTCATTTCACACTTGTCAAGTTGTAGTTGTTAGTTGCCATAGAGTCGATTCAACCCATGGCGACCCCATGTGGGCACAGTAGAGCTGCACGCCATAGGGTTTCCAAGATTGTGACCTTTTGGAAGCAGATCACCAGGCCTTTCTTTCACGGTGCCTCTGGTGAGTTCAAACCACCAACCTTTCGCCTAGTAGTTGAGCACTTAACCATTTGCATCACCTGAGGACCTGCTTTGTCAAGAGGTATGGGGAAATGCAGTCCCAAGACGCTGTGTACAGCAAGTATGCAGGCACTGGGTGAAGTCTGGCACCCTTGGGAAGGAAAAGAGACTCTGGAGAAAGAGGCCTGGCACTGTCCTAGCGGGAAAGGCCAAGGTGCCCCGGGAGGACTAAAACTTTTTATTAAAAGGACACTCTGTCCCCTCATTGACAGTTTCACACTCTCTGTGAAATGAGGACTTAAATGCTGGAACCCACCCAACAGCTGGTTTTCAAAGGCTTTTTCTGGAACTCTGCAGCCAGTGCACAAGCCGCCTCAAAGACAGGCTAGAAATGTCCTATTTTGTTATTTATTTTGTTTCCTGAAAGCGTAAGAATAAAAAGGGAGTGAAAGCTTCAGTTCATCAATAGGAAGTTCACCCCCCTCCACAACTCTGCCCTGGGAGCCTCACAGATTTCCTGAAGTTATAAACAAACACTGTGACTGTTACTACTCCTTGCAAGAATTCGATTCTTCCTTTATTATAAATAAGGCAGCATGAAATACCAAGTGTCTGCAAAGAGCCCTCCGCTTTCTGTTCAGACGCAGCTTTGGTACATAAAAGATCCCATTTCCTTGCAGCGATCTGTTGTCTTGATAGAAACAAGAAATCAGAAGGTGGTTTTTCAGCGAACTTTCTCTCTGAAGCAAAGGGGAAAGCTGAGGGGGATTTGGGTTCGGTTGTGGCTTTTGGAGACTGGTTCTTGGTTATTGGAATCTCTTCAAAGCACAATGGGATAAGGATAGAGGGGAAAAGAAAGGCATGGGAGATAATAAATAAGGAAATTCATCTTGATTCTAGAAATGAATCTCCACGGAAAGGGGGTTCAGTTCTGGCTGTTGTTGGACACACTTTGCAGGCTCATCCTCTGGAGCATGGCTGGCTGCTGCAGGGCTGGGGAAGGGCAGACGCACGCCCATGCCCCGTCTAATACCAGCCCACTCAGGCAGGCCTCCTACAGGCTTCCATGCCCCCCGCTCACTGCTGAGTTTCCCCGCCATGAATTAACCTTGCCACACAAACTGTCCATCTTCTCCAGCTTTCTGAGCCTAGGTGAGGGGACTCTAGGGGTGGGGGTGGGGGCGGTGGGGGCAGGGAAAAATCCTTTCTTCAGTTCTTGAGGAGCCCTGGACACCTCTGTTGAATTGGGTGTCATCTGGGTGGCATGGCCAGCTTCAACTCTGGAGGGAAGCTGAAGGTGCAACCACCCTCCTCTTTCTTGCTTCCTCTTTGGCCCTCTGCAAGGGCCAAGGCGATGCTATGAGAGGGAATCTCACAGGGTCAGTGAAGCAGAGTGGAGACAGGCCTCCCAACCTCCTGAACTGGGCCTGGGAATGGAGCACAGGCTCTGGCACCTGCCCAGTGATGGCAGCCCCCCACTGTGGTCTCAGGGTGCTCCCACAGTGTTGTCCCTGTGTGGTCCGAGTCCGCTGAGCCTCTGCCGGGCTCTTCGATCTGGGTCATCTAAGCAGCCAGCAAGGTACAGGCAGAGACGCTGGGTTCTGTGTGGTGAGGGAGCCCCATTGAAGTGAAGAGCTAAAGGGCCTGGGGCTGGCGACCAGAGCTGGCTTTCCCCAGCAGCTCTTGCTTCCAAGGATTGGAACCCAAGGAAAACAGCAGGCTATGGCATCCCTCGCCTCTCAGCTCTGCAGCTCACTCTGAACAGGGGTACCAGAGGCCAGACTGCATGCCAGACGCCCGCACCCAGCGTCCAGGCTCATCCCAGGCACCCATGCCTCTCTCTAGATAAGCTCTCATCATCCAGCATTTGCCCCCCTCCCACTAAGCTGAGAGTCAAGGGGTCCTCTGTAGAGAGAATAAAGAAGGGTGGGGGCCACGGAGCTTTTACAGCACCATCTACGGCACCCATGGTGCTTGGGACCCAGCACGCTGGGGAGGGGATAAGGAAGAGGAGGTGACCCTGAGTGAGAAGTGTAGCTGAAAAAGCAGCCAGCTTTAAAAGTCTCTGCCACCAAGTACCCATTTCTGTGTAACAGAGACATTAGCCATTAGGACCTTGAATCTGTACCAGGTCTTTTCTCCAAACAGTGTAAGAAAGTGGCAGCCACCACGGGACCCCTATTGCTGTGCAGGCTGTGAACCAAAGGCTGTGAATTCCCACATCTGTCCCTATTGGTGCTCTGGCTACAGGTGGCTGGGGGCAAGGCTACTGGGAATAGGGGTGCCAGGCCCCTCTTAACACCAGTCCCTGCCATCATTCTTGCAGATTCTCTGTTGACATTCAAGTAAAGACTGGACATGTGATGTAAAAACATTACACCCAGGTCGACATTTGCGTTGTCTCTAACTCGGTCTCCATAGGGGGTTCTCATACCAACTTGGCCATTCATGGCGATCTAAAAGTTAAGTGGCAAAGGATCCGTCCCCAAGCAAACCCAAACCACAGCTTCACCAACAGGCCCCCAGGGCATAAAAGCAAACCAGCTTTCAGCTTGGATCCTGTATCCTCTGGTCTATAGGATGGACCTGGCTTTCCTGGCAGGATGACTCATGGCTCCCAACAAAGCCTGCCATTTTTCCAGGAAGGCTTGCAGATGCCCACAGGGGCACAGACGTGGTGGGATGCCCTCCCGCCTGGCCCTCTGGGTCCCCGATGCTCTACAAGACGACAGCTTTTTGGGGCAGGCTGGCATGGTCTGAAGGGATATGTAGGGAATACTCGCTAATGAGTGCCGGGGCGTTCTTGAGCATCTCATAGAAGGAGTCCACTGTCTTACGGTAGAGACTTCGCTGCAGGACAAAGGGCTGGAAGAGATTGAGAGGCTCAGCCCTGCGGATGGCCTCGGGGAGTCCCATGGCCTCGGGCACCTTGCGGTTGCCAATAAAGAAGTGATAGAGCTTCTTCTCTAGCAGGCTCTTCTCAAGAAAGCGAAGCAACTCCTGCAGGCGAGTGTCAAGCTGCCCGGCCTTCCAGTCAGTGGCCCGGCGGGCAAGCAGGAGGTGCAGCAGGGCGGTCTTCAGGTGGTAGTGGCTGAGCCCGCTGGGGCCGGTCAGGCGGCTCTGCTTGGAGAGCAGGAAGGCGGCAATCTGCAAGCAGCTGAGGTGGCAGGCACCCTCGGGCAGTGCCTTGGATGTCACCCTGAGGAAGTGTCGCTCGTAGACAGCAAAGGACAGGAGCCAGTCAGTGCTGGATGCTGAGGTCCACCGAGAGGGCCCCCTGGGAAGGTGGGAGACGAAATACAGGTCTGAGTCTTCACACTGGATCACAGGAATCAGGTTGAAGGGCATGAACTTCCCCGAGCGGAACCTGATCTTCAGGGACCCCGGAGTGTCCAGCTGGCCAAAGGCCAGGTCGAACTCGTACTTGTGGGCAATGCGGTGCCAGGCTCGGGTGAGGGACGTCTGGAACCACTTCATGACCTGCACGGTGTCCAGGTATGGGGACTCTTTGGCACACAGTAGGTCCTCCATCTCGCTGCCAGGCTGCACCATATGGCTCTTGCCATGGAGGAGACACAGCATGTCTTCCCCAAGCTTGGACCTGTCGCAGATACAGCCCAGTGTGTCATTGTCAGCTCGGACCACCTTGATCTGGCCGTAGCCCTGGCGATCCAGGGGCACTGAGCGGCTGGAACACCAGAGCTCTGGGTGGAAACGGTAAGGCTCGGGGGGTGTGAAAGGCACAAAGAGGTCGCACACCAGTGGCCTGTCAACCTGCCAGTTCTCATACATGCTGTCTACACCGATGAAGTCCTCCACCTCCATGTCTGTGTCGCGATTGCAGAGGCTCCTCAGGGCTTCCAGCAAGTCATCCACGAAGCCTTCCATGAACTCCCGGGTACGGGCGGCATCGGCTGTGGCTCCCCGGATGCAGCGCTCATAAAAGTGGTCGAGTGTGGCCTTGTCGGGCAGGGTGAGGCTGCGGAGTGGGGTGCCCCCCAAGCCAGGCAGCTCATCCTCGTCACCGCCTGGGCACTCGGGCGAAGGCCCGTCTTGGTGGTCCTGCCGCCACACTTCGATCATCAGGAAAAGAATCATGCAGAGGGTGCTCCAGAGGTCCCAGGCCGCACGGGTCTCGTTCTGCTGCTGGCCCTCCGTGGCTGCCTGCTCCAGGGCCTCCTTCTCAGCCGCCAGCCGTGCCACCTCCTCCTCCAGGCGCAGCTGCTCCAGCTGCAGCTTCTCCTGGTGTGCCTGCATCTTGCGGATGATCTCCTCCTCATTCTCGGGGACTGTGGCGTTCTCCCGTGAGAACAGCAGTGGGTGGTTGATGATGGCCGTCACCACCACTAGGCACACCCGGAAGAGCCCCAGCGCCATGGCCAGAGCTTTCCTAGGAACAGAGAGAAACCGATGGTCACACCAAGTGTCCCTCAACACAACTTCTTCCTGGGACCCTCATACCAACCTCTGCCCCACAGAGCTGGGGGTGTCCTACAGTTCTCCCGCCCAACTCGCTATTCCTTCCCTGCAACCTCCTCTGGTGCCTCAGTCTAGCCTTGCGAGAAGGAACCCCATAGTCCTATGCTAGCAGTCTTGGCTCAACAACCCACTGTGATGGGCATCTGTTTCTGTTTGTCCAACCATCCCTGTTTCTGGTTGCAGCACCCCATTTTGCCTGGGGAACTATTCCTTTTTCACTCCCAGTCCTTATGGTTTGGGTGAGGAATGAACCTATCTCCCAGCTCCAAGGATGAGCATATAACCCAGGCCCAAGACCAGGAGCCTCTTCTACCCTCCTGGCCACAGTGACTAGTTCAGGGATGAGCATATGGCCCAATTCAGGCCAGTGGAGAAAGACCTAGGACTTGCTGGGACCAATGGGGAGAAGGACTCACCCTGTTCCTAGGTTGCCGAGAGAACAGCATTACACCTGCAGGGCTGGTGGCTCTCAAGCCACCATGAAGGGGAGCCTGCCTGAGAGAAATGCAAACACAGGAAAGCAGACCCAAGGACACAGGATATTGTGCCCTGTCCTGGCGACGCTGTCTGACCCTGACCCCAGCTATGCTTGAAGCCATGACCTCCGGACCTTTTAATCATATAAGCCAATACACAGTCTCCTTTTTTTCAAGTCAGTTTGAGTTGTTTTTCCAGTACCTGAAACCAAAATAGTCCTGAATAAAACACCCCTCCTTCCCCTAGAGAATGCGATCTTCTCTCAGTGCAGTAAAAACAAGTGGTTAAGAATAAAGGCTGGGCCCCAAAGCCATCCCTGTCACTGTGACCTTGGGCACGTTAATTCAACTCTCTGAGCTCATTTCCTTACTGTAAAGGAAGATAGCAATAGGGTCATCATACTGGTGGATGTGATGATCCACATTAGGCGCACAGCACAGTGAACAGCACGCGGCACACACTCACACCGAACACCAACTGTTTCCGAGGCAGGTTTCAGCTCTTGCCTCCCCCACTGTAAACCTCTCCTCACTCCAAATTCAGACACAGATGTCCTGGCCACCTGTCTTTCCCCAGGGCCCAGGGCAATCTCAGTGCCAGATTCTTACCCAAATGGCACAAAGGAGCAGGCATTTGTCACCAGGTGAGGACACCTTTGCAGGTTGTCCCTAGCAAAAGGCAAGACACAGGTGACCTCAGCTGGCTGCCAACTACACTTAGGCAAAGCCAGCTGCTCAGATGTGACTCAGACAGCTCCACTCTGTTCACAGCTGGACGTGTCAGCAAGAACCGAAAAGGAGTTGGAGGGAGGGTAGTCTGGCCTCCGCAGAAGTCAACCCCCAGACAAGTTTATTCCTCAGAGATGGTTCCACCTGAGAAGGAAATATGGGAGACAGTGAGAGTGGGGGAAGGAGACTGGAAGGAGGGTGGAGTGAGAAAAAAGTTCTGGGGCAGCTAGCAGCTGTTCCTCTCCAAGCCAAGGAGCAGCCTGCTAGATAATTGCAGAAACAGGCCAGCCCTGGTTTCTATATTAGAGAAACATCAATAGAAGAGTTAGAAAAGCCAGGGTGGTCCATGGCCAAACTGCAAGGCTGGCTGATTAACATGGATCAATTTCAAGATGAAGGCATGGAGTGGTAACACGGAACAGCCAGTTAGGAGATAATTTGGGGGTTTTAGTGCCTTCAGGGCCCCTGTACCACCTTGGAGCACAGCAGGCCCTGACCAGTCACAGTAATAGGCCCTGGCAACTCCCAACCCATGGAAACTCCTGTTTCCATGCCAACTCAGGATAAGATGCCACCAACTGAGGAGTGGTGCCACCGCCCAGCCCTATGACTGGGAAGTCCTCTTCCTTTCTACCCAATAGCTCTACGATGCTCCAGTGTACATTCTTGTGCCTGCCAGAGGATGAAGAGCTGTAAAGCCTCCTTGTACCAGCGCAGCCAAGGTTCAGATTCCAAACTAAATGGAGAGACCAACTCCATGTGGGACCTTGGGCAAGAGATTAGAAGGACGGACTCTGGAGGAGGCGGACAGGATTAGAACCCTAGCACCCGCACCTACTAAATATGTGCCCTTGGACAAATCACTTAACTTCTCAGAACCTCAGTTTCTTCATCTGTAAAATGGAAATAATAATGTCTGCTGTTGTAAGGCTTGAATGAGATAATGCATAAACTTAGCAAAATGTTTGCCCTTAACCAAGCAGCAATGAGCCGCGACCACGCAGTTGAACCTACTGACACGAGCTGGCGATGGAGTGGGCCACACAGACACCCCTACAAGGAACTCTGGCAAGATGCAAGCAGTCCACAGCGACCCTGACAGCAGGGCTACAAACAAGACGCGAGAGGAGCACAGGGAAACAGCATGCCAGAAGCCCGGCTGCAGAACCGGCAGACCTGGGTTTGAATCTTGATTCTGCCCCTTGCTGAGTGACCCTGGGTGAGTCTCTCAGCTTCTCTAGGACTCCACTACTTTACTTGTGAAATGGGGCTAACAACAGCCCCTCCTTCCTAGGGAGGTAGTGAAGGTTAAGCGAGATAATACACCTTGGGTGCTTAGCGTAGTGCCAGGCATAGAGTAGATTCCCTACAAAATCAGCTCCTTTCCCCTCAATCTCCTCCGGCCTGTTTTCTCACCTGCCAAACAAACCAGCCCTGCCCAACTCCCAGGGGTGTAGAGGAACCCACGCTCAAAAGTGCTTTGAAAGCACAAAATGCTTCTGTAGAGGAGTGGCGATGACTACAGCTCCTTGGCACGTCACCTCACCCACCTTGCCCCCCAGCAAAGAGGGAGACACTGGCAGAGCCTGGCTCCTCCTCAGGTCAGGAGTTCCCAGCAGGAGTCGGAGCGCGAGGTTCCCTCTGACTCACCTCCTTGCTTAAACCATCCCCTCCCTCCCTCCCAGGAGCCAGACCCCAGCTATCACTTTGCTCCTTCTTAAACTTGGAGCTGGGTAGCTCTGTGGGCAGCACCTGAAGGGATGGGGCAAGGAGGGCAGGCTGGGATGGGGAGCAGGGCTATGGCTCTCTGTGCCCACTAGACAGGGTCAAGTTCAAAGCCTCTGCTACTTCCCCGCCTCAAAGCAAGCCATATGGAAGGAACGCTGCCCCGTGGGGGCCATGGGGGTCAGAAGAATGAGGGGAGGGAATCAGGGCGTGTGGATCTTTAGAGACCACAGGTGGCTGGGAGCGTCTCACAAAACCATGAGCTACGTGCATGTGCACACACATAAACACACTCCTTCCCAAACGACTCCTTTCTCCCTATACCAAACATGTCCCCTGTGCCTTGGCTCAAAGCTCTCATCTTTATGAGCTGGTGCGCTCAGCTTAAAAATAAGCCTGGATCACCTCGTGGTGACCAGTTTTATCTGTCTGCTTGGCAGGAAGCCGGCAGGAAATCTGCTGAGTTCCTCTCCACCCCGGGCCTTGCCCACAGAGAGGTGGTGGCCCATGCGGTTCATGGCTAAACTAAGCCTGGCCAAGGACCAGGGTCAGGGGTGGCAGGGGCTGGGAGAAGTCAGAGGCCTCTGTGTGCCCAGGCCAGGGCCAGCCATTTTCTCAGACCCTTACTCTGAGACTGGCCAGAATTCCAAGACCCTGGGGCTGACCCAAGATGGCTCTGTCAGTGGGTCTCCTCACTCCTGCTTCCTCAGAGCTCTACAGCACCCCCTACACCCCAACTGCAGATTAACCCAGTGAACACCAGTAAGAGTTGTCCAATGACGACAAGCTTCCATTCATCAAGCTCTCGCAGAATGTAGTGAACACTGTACACAGTAACTCACTGTACTCTCCTAAGAGGTGGGTATTACCCATGCCTCGCACATGGGTTAACCAAAGCCCAAAGAGACAAAGTCATTTTCTAGCCACACGGCTTGAAGAGAGTAGCCAGGCTGAGATTCAAGCCTGTCTGTCTGCCTCCACGGCAAAGCCAAAGTTCTTTCCACTATGCCATGTTTACAGAGCACCTGGTATGCACAAGGCACAAGCTGGATGCTACAGGGCCCACAATGATGAGTACAACATGACCCTCAGCAGTGAAAAGAGTACAATCCATGTGAGAGTCAGACAACCACTAAGTATCATCACAGGCAGAATGAGGTGTGGGGCATAAGAGGCTTATGAACAATTAGCTACAAAAGCACAGAGGAGGGAGAAAGATTTATTCATGTCCTTTGGAGGCCTCTCCTTGTCTTTATGCCTTCCCTCTGCCCCTACCTGTTGCGGACATGTCAGTGTGCAAACTCTTAGCCCCATGTCCACCTCCCCCTTCTTCTAGACAGAATGCCTACAATAAACTGGGAACAGACGGTGCCTGTGTCCAGCCCACAACCTGTTCATCAACACCCCTTCTGCCCCATCACCTCCCCTCCACCCCTACCCAGGGTGAGCTGATTCTGGACCCATCTCTCAGCAGCCCAATATTCCCTCTGGGACAATGGTTCTCAGTGTGGTCCCTGGATCAGCAGCATCAGCATCATCTGGCAACTTCTTTGAGATGCAAATGCTTAGGCACAATCCTACCACCACCCACTGCTGTCGAGTCCATTGCAACTCATAATGACCCTACAGGACAGAGCAGAACTGCCCCATAGGGTTTTCAAGGCTGTAAATCTTTATGGAAGCAGACTGCCACATCTTTCTCCTGCAGAGTGGCTGGTGAGTTCAAACCGCTGACCTTTCAGCCAAGCACTTAACCACTGCACTGCCAGGGCTCCTTAGGCGCAACCGTACTGATTAGAAATTCCAGGGGTGGGGCCCAGAATCAGTGTTTTAACAAACCCTCCAGGTGGTTCTAATGTCTGCGCAAGTTTGAGAACCACCACTTCTGAAGCCAAGCTGTCCTCCAGTCGGAGAAGGGTGGGAGGAGGGTGGGACTTCTGAAGTGTCACCCAGCCCAGGGCTTGCCTCACGCTCAGCCGGT